TGTAGTCTTGCTTTTTTATGTCTCTGTGTCAGCAGTGGGGTCCTCCTGGGTCTCCTGCCATAGCGTTTCATTTCATTTAAATGTCGACGGATAGTTCGCGCTGACACTGATGCTCCCTGAGCCTGCAGGACAGCTTGAATGTCTTTGGAACATGTTTGGGGCTGCTTATCCACCATCCGGACTATTCTGCGTTGCAATCTTTCATCAATTTTCCTCATCCGTCCACGACCAGGGAGATTAGCTACAGTGCCATGGGTTGCAAACTTCTTGATAATGTTGCGCACTGTGGACAAAGGCAAATCTAGTTCTCTGGAGATGGACTTGTAACCTTGAGATTGTTGATATTTTGCCACAATTTTGGTTCTCAGGTCCTCAGACAGTTCTCGTCTCCTCTTTCTGTTGTCCATGCTTAGTGTGGCACAGACAGACACACAATGCAAAGGTTAAGTGAACGTCTCTCCTTTTTATCTGCTTTCAGGTGTGATTTCTATATTGCCCACACCTGTTACTTGCCCCAGGTGAGTTTACAGGAGCATCACATGCTTGTAACATTCTTATTTATCCGCAGTTGTGAAAGGGTGCCAATACTTTTGTCCAGCCCATTTTTGGAGGTTTGTGTGACATTATGTCGAATTTGCTTTCTTTCCTCCCTTTTTTTGTTTTGTCCCAATACACACAAAGGGAATAAACATGTGTATAGCAAAACATGTGTTAATGCAATACGTTTCGTGAGAAATACATGATTTCCTGGAGAAATATCAAGGGTGCCAACAATTTCGGCCATGACTGTAAGTGTTTCTGTCTGACAGGAAATGTTGCCAACAGCAAATCAAATCTGACAGAGGTTCTATCCCGTAATCCAGAGCTTGAAAATTCCACTGGCCCGCTCGCCAAATGGTGAGCACAGTAATGCCCTTTACATTTATTGATGGAGCGGGTGGCCTGCAATGCGATCCCCAGGCCCCGGGGATCGATTTGGGCTCTTAGCCTCGTTTTGAAGCTGACTTCCGGTTTCCGACTTCCGGCTTCTTCTTCGGCACCGCCATTACACTGGCAGCGCTGGTGAGTGGACAGGTGCAGGAGGGAGACACAAGGAGAGGCCCACTCTCCACCGCCACGGGGGACATGAAAAGAGGCCCGCTCTCCACCGCCGTGGGGGACATGAGGAGAGGCCTGCTCTCCACCGCCGTGGGGGACACGAGGAGAGGCCCCCTCTCCACCGCCGCGGAGGACTCGAGGAGAGGCCCGCTCTCCACCGCCGCAGGGGACACGAGGAGAGGCCCGCTCTCCACCGCTGCGGAGGACTCGAGAAGAGACCCACTCTCCACCGCCGCGGAGGACTCGAGGAGAGGCCCGCTCTCTACCGCCACGGGAGACACAAGAAGAGGCCCACTCTCCACCGCCACGGAGGACACGAGGAGAGGTCCGCTCTCTACTGCTGCAGGAGACACGAGGAGAGGCCCACTCTCCACCGCCGCGGGGGACACGAGGAGAGGTCCGCTCTCCACCGCCGCGGGGGACACGAGGAGAGGCCCGCTCTCCACCGCCATGGGAGACACGAGGAGAGGCCCGCTCTCCACCGCCATGGGAGACACGAGGAGAGGTCCGCTCTCCACCGCCATGGGAGACACGAGGAGAGGCCCGCTCTCCACCACCATGGGAGACACGAGGAGAGGCCCGCTCTCCACCGTCGCGGGGGGGACACGAGGAGAGGCCCGCTCTTTACCACCACGGGGGACACGAGGAGAGGCCCGCTCTCCACCGCTGCGGAGGACTCGAGAAGAGACCCACTCTCCACCGCCGCGGAGGACTTGAGGAGAGGCCCGCTCTCTACCGCCACGGGAGACACAAGGAGAGGCCCACTCTCCACCGCCACGGAGGACACGAGGAGAGGTCCGCTCTCTACTGCTGCAGGAGACACGAGGAGAGGCCCACTCTCCACCGCCACGGGGGAAACGAGGAGAGGCCCGCTTTCCAACGCCGCGGGGGACACGAGGAGAGGCCCGCTCTCCACCGCCATGGGAGACACGAGGAGAGGCCCGCTCTCCACCACCATGGGAGACACGAGGAGAGGCCCGCTCTCCACCACCATGGGAGACACGAGGAGAGGCCCGCTCTCCACCATCGCGGGGGACACGAGGAGAGGCCCGCTCTTTACCACCACGGGGGACACGAGGAGAAGCCCGCTCTCCACCACCATGGGAGACACGAGGAGAAGCCCACTGTCCACTGCCGCAGGGGACATGAGGAGAGGCCCGCTCTCCACCACCATGGGAGACACGAGGAGAAGCCCACTGTTCACTGCCGCAGGGGACACGAGGAGAGGCCCGCTCTCCACCACCATGCAGAAAAAAGTAATTTCATAAGCTTTAAGGGGGCGTTGTTGGGGGCAGGGCTGGGAGCGGGGTTGGGGGACGGGCCTGGGGTGGGGTTGGAGGCGGACCTGGGCAAGGTTTGGTGGGGCAACTGGTGGAGAGTAAGGTTTTTGCCTGACTAGTAGGTCTAGACTTGAAATTTTAAGCCCTGCCCGTAATCGCTCCGTCTATAACAAAAAGAACACATTTGGCTGGGCTCTCACTCTGCGGAATGTCTGTGCAAAGTCTGCGATTCCATTTGCTGCTGGAAAACGCCGAACTTTTTATCTTCCCCCTCGCTCATTTCTCCGTTCCTCCTGATGATTGTGTATAGTGCGGTACAATTCCACCGCTAATTCTTGTCTGGCTTTGATTGCCTACGATAGGCTGTAATTACATCCTGATTATATGCGGTGGCCACGTTCTCTGCAGCCTGAGCTCTTCAAATCTTAGATCAGAAAGAGGAAAAAAAAAAATAAAAAAGTCACAAACGGCTCAAAAAACAATTGTTTTATCTCTGAAAATTGGTATAATGGGAATAGGGGGAGCGATGGGGGTCCCGGTGTGTAATTACACCGTAGCCAGGCAGCTGAAACAGCTGGAATACACATAAAGGGATGAGATTTGGGGTCGGGTCTGACGCAGGTTTGCGGTGGATTTGAAGTTCGCAGACTCGCTGAACTAAAGCGTGATTTTGCCGCCACAGCAAAAAACTACCAATCATTTCCTTCCTGGCCTTGGACTTTGTCCAGGTGGCTTAGAATCTGGGTGGGATCAAGCTTATCTATTGTGATGGGAGCAAGGGCGGACTGACCATTAGGGACCTCAGGCACTGCCCGAGGGCCTGGGGTTAGTAGGGGGCCCCATGAGATGTCCCTGGTACCTTCCATAGGCTTTTTTTGGGTGTGATTTGAGTGTGGGCGAGGACACAGGGGCCCCATGATCCCCTATTGCCAGGGGACCCTATGAGTTGTTAGTCTGCCCCTGGAGGGGGGCCCATTGAACACAGCTCACTTTGGAGAGGTGGGGAGACCCCAGTCTCAGCTCCCCAAATCCCTCTTATGTGTAAGTCACCCTGTGCCTGTTAGGGGTACAGGGTGATCTGTCCTAACATTGGGGGGGCTTTGTCTAAAATTTTCTAGACATGTTCACTAGATAGGTGGGGTGGGGGTTGTGGATTGTTTGGTGTTATGTGGTTGCATCCCATTGTTCTATTGTTTGTCTTGCTTGGGAGCAAACTATTATGGGATGTATGTGTTTATGTGTATTAGCTTAGTGTGGGGGGGGGGTTTCTCCAGCAGCCCTCCCTCCTGATGGGACTGCTGGTGCGAAGTTTGAATACCTGTGTGTCTCTTGTTACTAAATGTAGATTGCCCCGCCCTGTGTCATTATGCAAGGAGGGGGGGATTGTCCCCTGAATGTATATATCTTGTATCTGTGTTCAAATAAATTAGTCTACTTCCTGGTTTACTTCAAGACCGGAGTCGTCTAGTCATGTATGGTCAGCTGTGGTGTCTGTTGTCGGTGTTCGGACGGGGAAGCGGTATTCTAACGGAAGTACTCAAGCGCAGTCTGGGTCGGTTCCATTACATCTATTCTGGGGGTGCAGTATAAAATGTCAGGCGGCGTAATGTCCAGAGTGTGATAGAGATGCATAGAATCAGTATTCCCCATTCGGTACCACAAATCACAACCTGGAAATAACGTCTGACAGGAGTGAACTGGGAACACTAGGATGTCTTAAGCTTTCATTAAATTAGGATGATTTAACAGAACCTGTGCCTCCTTATATCAACTGTCCCTATTAAAGTCCCCCCTTACATCATTGAAGGTCCGCCTTGCAGCAGGTGTCCCCATCAGAGTGCCCACTTACATCAGGTGTACTTATTTACATCAACTGTCCCAATAGAGTCCCCCTGATGTCAGTTGTCCTCATCACAGTGCCTCCTTATGTCAATTTCCCACATCAGAGTCCCTCTTACATTTATTGTCCCCATCAGAATGCTCCATACATCAGTTGTCCCATCAGGCTGCCCCCTTATATCAGTTGTCCCCATTAGAGTGCTTCTTACATCAGTTGTCCCATCAGTGTGCCCTCTTACACTAGTTGTTCCCATAAGAGTGATCCTTATATCAACTCTCCCTTCAGAGTCCCTCTTACATCAGTTGTCCACATCAGAGTGCCCCCTTACATCAACTGTCTGCATCAGAGCCCCCTTACATCAGTTGTGCCCTTCAGAGTGCTCCTTATATCAACTGTCCCATCAGAGTCTCCCTTACTTCTTTTGTCCCAATCAGAGTGCCCCTTACATTAATTGTCTGCATCAGAGCCCCCTTACATCAGTTTTCCCCGTCAGAGTTCTCCTTACATCAACTGTCCCCATCAGAGTGCCCCCTTACATCAACCATCCCCATCAGCATGCCCCCTTACATCAACTGTTCCCATCAGAGTGCCCCCTTACATCAACCGTCCCCATCAGTGTGCCCCCTTACATAAACTGTCCCCATCAGCGTGCCCTCTTACATCAACTGTCCCCATCAGTGTGCCCCCTTACATAATCTGCCTCATCAGCGTGCCCCCTTACATCAACTGTCCCCATCAGAGTCACCCTTACATGAACTGTTCCATCAGAGTCACCCTTACATCAACTGTTCCCATCAGAGTGCCCCCTTACATCAACTGTTCCCATCAGAGTGCCCCCTTACATCAACTGTTCCCATCAGAGTCACCCTTACATCAACTGTTCCCATCAGTATGCCCCCTTACATAATCTGCCCCATCAGCGTGCCCCCTTAAATCAACTGTCCCCATCAGAGTCACCCTTACATCAACTGTCCCCATCTGCATGCCCCCTTACATCAACTGTCCCCATCAGCGTGCCCCCTTACATCAACTGTCCCAATCAGCGTGCCCCCTTACATCAACTGTCCCCATCAGCGTGCTCCCTTACATCAACTGTCCCCATCAGCGTGCCCCCTTACATCAACTGTCCCCATCAGAATGCCCCCTTACATCAACCGTCCCCATCAGAGTGCCCCCTTACATCAACTGTCCCCATCAGAATGCCCCCTTACATCAACCGTCCCCATCAGAGTGGCCCCTTACATCAACTGTCCCCATCAGAGTGCCCCCTTACATCAACCGTCCCCATCAGAGTGCCCCCTTACATCAACCGTCCCCATCAGAGTGCCCCCTTACATCAACTGTCCCCATCAGAGTCACCCTTACATGAACTGTCCCATCAGAGTCACCCTTACATCAACTGTTCCCATCAGAGTGCCCCCTTACATCAACTGTTCCCATCAGAGTGCACCCTTACATAATCTGCCCCATCAGCGTGCCCCCTTAAATCAACTGTTCCCATCAGAGTGCCCCCTTACATCAACTGTTCCCATCAGAGTGCACCCTTACATCAACTGTTCCCATCAGAGTGCACCCTTACATCAACTGTTCCCATCAGAGTGCCCCCTTACATCAACTGTTCCCATCAGAGTGCCCCCTTACATAATCTGCCCCATCAGCGTGCCCCCTTAAATCAACTGTCCCCATCAGAGTCACCCTTACATCAACTGTCCCCATCTGCATGCCCCCTTACATCAACTGTCCCCATCTGCATGCCCCCTTACATCAACTGTCCCCATCAGCGTGCCCCCTTACATCAACTGTCCCAATCAGCGTGCCCCCTTACATCAACTGTCCCCATCAGCGTGCCCCCTTACATCAACTGTCCCCATCAGCGTGCCCCCTTACATCAACTGTCCCTATCAGCGTGCCCCCTTACATCAACTGTCCCCATCAGAATGCCCCCTTACATCAACCGTCCCCATCAGCGTGCCCCCTTACATCAACGTCCCCATCAGAGTGCCCCCTTACATCAACGTCCCCATCAGAGTGCCCCTTACATCAACTGTCCCCATCAGAGTGCCCCTTTATATCAACTGCCCCCATCATTACTTTACATCGAGTTTATATAGCGCCAAAGGGTTTGCTCAGCGCTGTACAATAGAGGGGGGGACAATACATGAAACATTACAGCAAACTACAAACAGCACACGAGGGGTTAGAGGGCTATTCCTCCCACTGACACCAATGATGGGGCACTATTCCTCCCACTGACTCCAATGATGGGGCACTATTCCTTCTATTGACACCAATGATGGGGCACTATTCCTCCCACTGACACCAATGATGGGGCACTATTCCTCCCACTGACACCAATGATGGGGCACTATTCCTCCCACTGACACCAATGATGGGACACTATTCCTCCCGCTGACACCAATGATGGGGCACTATTCCTCCCACTGACACCAATGATGGGGCACTATTCCTCCCCACTGACACCAATGATGGGGAACTATTCCTCCCACTGACACCAATGATGGGGCACTATTCCTCCCACTGACACCAATGATGGGGCACTATTCCTCCCACTGACACCAATGATGGGACACTATTCCTCCCACTGATGCCAATGATGGAGCACTATTCCTTCCACTGATACCAATGATGAGACACTATTCCTCCCACTGATACCAATCATGGGACACTATTCCTCCCACTGACACCAATGATGGGGCACTATTCCTCCCACTGATACCAATGATGGGGCACTATTCCTCCCACTGATACCAACGATGGGGCACTATTCCTCCCACTGACACCAATGATGGGGCACTATTCCTCCGCTGACACCAACGATGGGGCACTATTCCTCCCACTGACACCAATGATGGGACACTATTCCTCCCGCTGACACCAACGATGGGGCACTATTCCTCCCACTGATACCAATGATGGGGCACTATTCCTCCCACACTATTCCTCCCACCACCAATGATGGGGCACTATTCCTCCCACTGATACCAATGATGGGGCACTATTCCTCCCACTGATACCAATGATGGGGCACTATTCCTCCCACTGACACCAATGATGGGGCACTATTCCTCCCACTGACACCAATGATGGGGCACTATTCCTCCCACTGATACCAATGATGGGGCACTATTCCTCCCACTGACACCAATGATGGGGCACTATTCCTCCCACTGACACCAATGATGGGGCACTATTCCTCCCACTGACACCAATGATGGGGCACTATTCCTCCCACTGACACCAATGATGGGGCACTATTCCTCCCACTGACACCCCCACTGACACCAATGATGGGGCACTATTCCTCCCCACTGACACCAATGATGGGGCACTATTCCTCCCCACTGACACCAATGATGGGGCACTATTCCTCCCCACTGACACCAATGATGGGGCACTATTCCTCCCCACTGACACCAATGATGGGGCACTATTCCTCCCCACTGACACCAATGATGGGGCACTATTCCTCCCACTGACACCAATGATGGGACACTTTTCCTCCCACTGATACCAATGATGAGACACTATTCCTCCCACTGATACCAATGATGGGGCACTACTGATACCAATGATGGGGCACTCCCCACTGACACCAATGATGGGGCACTATTCCTCCCACTGATACCAATGATGGGGCACTATTCCTCCCACTGATACCAATGATGGGGCACTATTCCTCCCACTGATACCAATGATGGGGCACTATTCCTCCCACTGATACCAATGATGGGGCACTATTCCTCCCACTGATACCAATGATGGGGCACTATTCCTCCCACTGACACCAATGATGGGGCACTATTCCTCCCACTGACACCAATGATGGGACACTATTCCTCCACTGACACCAATGATGGGGCACTATTCCTCCCACTGACACCAATAATGGGGCACTATTCCTCCCACTAATACCAATGATTGGGCACTATTCCTCCTACTGACACCAATGATGGGGCGCTATTCCTCCCACTGAAACAAATGATGGGGCACTTTTCCTCCCACTGACACCAATGATGGTTCACTATTCCTCCCACTGACACCAATGATGGGGCACTATTCCTTCTATTGATGACAATGATGGGGCTCTATTCCTCCTACTGACACCAACAATGGGGCACTACTCCTCCCCCAATACCAAAGATGGCATTGTTTTCTCCCAGTGATGTCAGGATATTCTCTGTTCCCAACAGTCTGGCCCCCCCAAAGTCTGAAGGACAGTAAACTGGCTGTTTTTTTAGAGACCCTGATGCAAGGGAATGGAGGTGGGAGTGTAAAAAAACAATCAGCGACTGTATGTTCAGTACCACACTAATGACAGACTATATCATATGTTACTTGTTAACCTGTTCATAGTTACATTTTAATTTCTTCAGATTTGTCACCCCCCCCCCCCCCCCCCCTTCTCCTTTCCCATCCATACAAATTGCAATGGAATTCAGACACCGTTACCTCTGTAGCCGCCATTGGTGCAACTTCACACAAACTCTTTAATACTTGCCACACGCATCGATTCTTTCGAGGGATTCTTTAGGGATTGCCAATCCTATTTCCTCCAAACGGTGCCTCGGGCTGCTTGTTTTGCCTGATGCAATCAAACGTATGATCGGAATTATGATTACAATGATGATAGCTTTCATTAAAATGTTAGTTACAGCTACCTGATCTGCAAAAATCAAATTAAAAAAAAGAAAGTCGTCTGATTATACACACACACTGACAAGTACACTGGAAGAGAACGAAAAGAAGAAAATCCAATTTGATTGGTTCCTCTTTGGTTGGATCTAAAGGGAAAAGTTTTTGAACCCCCCTCCATTCCACGCATGTTTTGTAGATATGATTGGAATGTTACAATGACTGGGTTATCGGGTGGGCAGATTCGAATGCGTGAGCACCTTCAGTTCACTTACTTCTTGCATACGGAGCGGACTGACAACTCATGGGGCCCCCGGGCAATAGGGGATCATGGGGCCCCTGTGTCCTCACCCACACCCAAAAAAGCCTATGAAAGGTACCAGGGACATCTCATGGGGCCCCCTAATGACCCCAGGCCCTCGGCAGTGCCCAAGTTCCCCAATGGTCAGTCCGCCCCTGCTTGCATAATGATCCATCGAATCATCTTCTGAACATACTGTAATAACATTTTTTTATTATTATTATACTTATACAGTATTTATAAAGCGCCAATAGTTGGCTCAGCGCTGTACATTACAGAGGGGGACAGAACATGTGACAGAACAATACCAATACAATGCAAAACATGAGGGGATCGAGGGCCCTGCTCCTTGGAGCTTACAATCTAGGAGGGAGGGGATGGTGGCACAGGAGGAGATAGCTGTGGGAGATGGGGGGTGGTAGGAAGAGTGGAGGAGGTCGGCAAGTTAGCAGGGGGTGGGGTAGGCTTCCCTGAAGAGGTGGGTTTTCAGGGTGGGCCTAAAGGAGAGGAGAGTAGGTGATAATCTGATGGGTCGGGGCAGGGAGTTCCAGAGTATGGGTGACACCCTGGAGAAGTCCTGGAGGCGGGCATGGGAGGAGGAGACCAGGGAACTAGAGAGAAGGAGGTCTTGTGAGGAGCGGAGTGTGCGTGCTGGGCGGTACTTGGATATTAGGTCAGTGATGTAGTTCGGGGCAGTATGGTGGACGGCTTTGTACGTCAGTGTTAGGATTTTGAATTTGATCCGTTGCGCAATCGGAAGCCAGTGGAGGGTTTGGCAGAGGGGGGTGGAGGACACTGAGTGGAGGCCAGTGGAGGGATTGGCAGCAGGGGGTGGAGGACACTGGAAGCCAGTGGAGGGATTGGCAGAGGGGGGTGGCGGAGATGGAGCGGTTGGCAAGGTGAATGAGTCTGGTAGCCGTATTCAGGATGGACTGAAGCGGGGATAGCCAGCGGCGAGGCAGGCCAGTGAGGAGGGAGTTGCAGTAGTCGAGTCGTGATATGATGAGGGAGTGGATGAGCTGTTTAGTGGTTTCTGGGGTTAGGAACGCGCAGATTTTGGAGATGTTGGGGAGGTGGAGTCTGCATGTTGTGGAGGTGGAGTCTGCACGAGTTTGTTAAAGATTGGACTTGGGGCTGGAAGGATAGGTTGGAGTCCAGAATGACACCAAGTACTCTGGCCTGCGGGGCGGGTTTGATGGTGGCGTTGTTGGATGTGATGGAGAAGTCAATGGGGGGTGGGGTCCGGGCTGGGGGGAAGACAAGAAACTCGGTTTTGGAGAGGTTCAGATTAAGGAAGTGGAGCGACATCCAGTCTGATATGTCGCTCAGTAGGTGTGTGATTTGGGCGGAGACCGAGGGGGTGAGGTGGGGGGTTGAGAGAT